GAAGGAAACGCCGGGTCATTTCATTTGAATTTTCCCCATTACACGTGCAGAATATAGAAGTGGCAATCAATAGCTCCTTGGAGCCCTGACACGGCCCTTAACCCTTCGCTTCCCGCAGACGTGATGCGGAAGCTTTTACACTCCTCCAGAAGCAATCTCTGCTGTTCGCCTTTCTTGGTCCGTGTTATGTCGAGCACAGAGGAGCAAGTGTCACCCCCCCCCATGCAGGTCCCCACCCTGCACTGAACTCCCACGCGACCGTCACTGTCTGCAGGAAAGGGACTCCTGGCCCTGACTCTGCATTTGGCGGGGGGGAGACTCAGCCCAGCTCCATCTCACGTGCAAGTACCCTGGGTTCAAATTTAGCTTTTTGGGCTGTAGGCTGAAAGCCTGAGCCTTGCGCCTGTGCTTAAAATAGCAGCGTTTTGCGTTAGTCTGGGGGGGAAGAGGCTCTAAGAAAGGGGGGTGCTCAGAGGACAGATGGTTTGGAAACCAGTGGTGGGGTTTTAAGCAGCAGCTGGAAAGGCATCAGCTTGTGTCTCCCTCGGAGCCAGCACTGACCTTGGGCGCCCCAACTTCTGAAATAGCCTCCAGTGGCAAATCCTGTCTGGCTGCCTTATTGCTCACATGGTGCAGGGCGCTGTGGGCCCCCTTTATTTCACCTGCAGAGTCAACGTTTCGAGTGACACTGAGAGCAGGTGAGGGGGCTGGGAGAGCAGGGGCTATGTGCACAGCGTCTCCGAGCAAGTAAGAAGCTCGTTTAAAACGTGCCATTAGATGGCTAATACTTTTGTGATAATTACTGAGGTACATTCACAAGGTGGAGCTGCTTGAAAGACTGGCAGCCCTGCCGGGATCGTCTCTCTCTCCCCTCCACGCTACGGTTCAGATTTGTCAGTCTTTCATGCTCCTTCACTTAATCTTTTCCCTCTTTGAACTGCAAACTGGTTCCTTTACGTTCACGTTAACTGAGAAGAGTTTTGTCACGATCACATTTCTGGCCAGTTTCGAGGGTCTCTGCTGTTGCCATTTGAGACCCTCCGCGTCCACGATTAAGAAAACCCGTACCACCAGACTCGCAGCATTTCATCAGCTGGGCTGGAGGAGACCAGAGACTTTTGAAGACTGGATCCTTTATTTAAAGGCTGATTTAGTTTACGGTGGAGTAGTAATTCCGTCGTCAAAGCTTAATCAGATTTATACATGATAGAGGGGGGGGGTCGTCCTTTGTCTGCCCCAGTTTAGAGGAAGGGCTGAGCAGGAAGGGGTAGGGAAGAAAGAGGAGGTGTGAGACCCAAAGCCCACAGCCGATAAACTAGATCAGTCGCATACACCTGAGACGGAGCTCCTCTTTCAAAGGGACAGGTTCCTGGGCAAGCCAGCGAGAGCGTGAGTGCCAGAAACAGCAGCCACCGCCACCTAAAGACATCACAGCAATATGTTACGCGTGCATTTCAATAAACAGCCGGTGTCTTCAATGCTAATGCATCGCCCAGGCTCCCAAGTCCAGAGATTAACTTTATTAGATTAAAGGGAGAGAGATTCGCGGGTGTGTATCTATACTAGAGGCAGGAAATAATGCAAGGAAAAATGTATGTTCGCAACTGCGGAGCTTTACAAGATTTCCAGACTGCCAGCTCCTCATTATTTAAGAAGACTTTTTAGTACCTGGTCCCCAGGATAAAGGAGACCTAGTGGGGGAGGGAGTCGCATGTGTCCTCCTTCAAAGCTCAGAGATACAAAGCGCATTTCCCCGAACTCCTCAGCGCACATTTACTCACTCCTACCCACTTCCAGTGCCAACAGTGCTGCTGCTGTAATACAAACGCACGGACCGACACTGGGCATTTTCAAGTGAGGTTTTAAAGTTCAATCTCAGTATCTCCCTACTTTCTCCCTTGATCAGTAGGAGTCAACAACAGTCCTGGAGGACCGGCCTTTTTCTATTAGCCATCCCCTGACATTTTCACCCAGACGGGAGTGTGCAGAATTCGGAGCCGCTCCGGCGTCTCCCTTAGAAAATAATAATAATAATAATACTGCCCGTCCCCATACATGCCTGGATCTCTGTGGGTTTTGGCTGAGTCACAGAGTGGATGTGTGTGAAGGAGTCACGTTACGTTTGCATGCAGCCCCAAACCCTCCGTGTCCACAACACCAGAGATAAGTAACTTAATCTACTCAGAAAGTAAAGGGGGGGGACTTTAAAATCTCTTTGCCTTTCCAGAAGCGCTGGTTCTTGTGAGTGTGCTGATTGGTACACTTCAGTCTCAAGAAGCATATTCACCCCATGACTTATAAATGACTGTTTTGTCTGAAATGAGCTTGGTAACTAAATAAAATCAGGTGGATCAGAAATTCGGTACTGAGACCCCCCCCCTCCCTCCCCTTTTTCCAAAAAGGACATAACTCCCCCCCGCGCGCACACCCCCTCTTTCTTCAATTTCCAAAACTGAAAGCAGACACCGTGTTGTGTGTTGTATTTTTTCCCCTGTGTAAGCAGCAAGAGACCTGGTTAATCATCTATTGCAGATACTTGTGCATCAGAAAGAAAAGTGTTGATGTTTGCTTGTTTGAGTTGATGGGGCTGGCCCACGAATTTCGGATTAAATTACTAATGGCAATAATAAATCTTTGTTCCCCCTTCTTCTCTCTTTCTTTTCTGCTGGGATTGTCGAAATAAACCATGTAACAACATTCTTTGGAAAAAGTCTGCAGAGCAGCTTTGCAGTATAAAACAGCCTATTGTGCTGTCCTGGGCTAAGTGAAATCTCTCCCGGTTTTAGCCTGTAACAGTTCAAGAGCAAAGCAAATCCCGAGCCTAACTCTAGACCCGCTTTGCAGGTGGATCGGTCAGGAGGAAGTGGAGCAGGACTTCAGCAGGGTAGGTTTCTCAGAGCATGGACCAAAATGAAGTGACAGCTGGAGAATAGGAAGGGGATATTGCAATCCAAGCGGACCAATAGTTGTATATAGCCGCGTGTGAGTAGTGCATTAATTTTAATGCATTCAGTCTGATTAAACCCACGGAATCGTCTGTTTTATGTAGTTTGGGGCTGGGCATTTTGGGGGTTGGCTTTTTTTT